ACGGCCCCCGTGGCCCCGGAGGGGGAGCCCGCGTCCGGCGAGGCCGCGTCCGGCTCCGGCCGGGGCAAGAAGATCTTTGGCTGCTCCGAGTGCGAGAAGCTGTTCCGCTCGCCGCGTGACCTGGAGCGCCACGTGCTGGTGCACACGGGCGAGAAGCCGTTCCCGTGCCTGGAGTGCGGCAAGTTCTTCCGCCACGAGTGCTACCTCAAGCGCCACCGGCTGCTGCATGGCACCGAGAGGCCCTTCCCCTGCCACATCTGTGGCAAGGGCTTCATCACGCTCAGCAACCTCTCGCGGCACCTGAAGCTGCACCGGGGCATGGACTGACGCCGCCGGGCTGCGCCTGCGCCCCACCGCCCCTCCCCAGGGGCTGCACCCAGGGCCCGGGGCCAGATCCCCGGGTCCTGCCGTCAGGGGACCCCGGCTGGAGAGAGCGGGCCACCAGACACCCACACAGGCCCCTGAGCTGGGGGCAGCAAATAAATGGAGGGACTCCTCAGCTCCGGGGTCCAGGATCTAGGAAGAGATTCCTGAGCACCCCCAAATCAACAAGCCTCCCCAAGCTGTGGGGACCCAGCAATGAGAAATGGGTCTCTCCAAGTACTTCTCATCTTGAAGACCCTAGTAATAAAAGATGGGCGTCCTTCCCCCAGAGGAAGACCGCCCCTCTCCCCAAGAGCCATCATTCCCAACGACCTTGATCTGGAGAATGTGGGGGACCATGTCCCCGAATTTCCCTGGATCCCCGCGAATGCTACCCACCAGTCACTGGTGCCCCCCCGAAAATGGATATAGCCGGAATCTGCCTTCCCCCCCACCCCCACCCCATTTCATTCCTTATGCTGAAAGAGGACCAGGGTAGATGCCCTCTGCCCTCAACCCCCCTCCCCAATTAGGTCTCCCTCCCCTACTGCAGAATGGATCCATCCTAATGATCTTCCCCATCCCAAACACTAGAATAGGCTGGTTTGAAATCCCTCCTGCCCAGTAGAATGAACTGAATCAGATACACACCCCTGTCCACTGGAATGGGCTGGTCCAGATTGTGGCCTGTACCCACCCTCCTTAGGCGAATACAGCAGACACTCCTCCCTTCCTCTAGAGTGTGGGCCAGTCCACCTCATTCCCCATCCTGTGAACTCATCTGAGTGGGAGGTGGTGGACATTGGGGTTTTCCTCCCACTCTGCTGTAGCACCTGTCTTTCCATCTCTGTTGGTTTGTCTGTCTCTGTGTTCCTCTCAACCCCAAGGGGAAGGGGGTTTGGCTAGGGGCTTCCCCCCTGTGAGCCTCGACCTTGCCCCTCATCCCACTCCCTAATGTCTCCAGGACCCCAATAAACCTCGTCCTGTCAGTCACTGCTGTCTCATTTTCTGATCCTTGGCTCCAGAGAGGTAGGGTATTTCTCCCTCCCTGATTTAGGATGAGCTCCCTAAATAGAAGCTCCCGCCTGGCAAATCTTTCCTCCCTCCTGGCAAATGTTGAGTCCCTTAGATAGTACACGACCATTAAAATAAAAAATGGTTTAAGTTTCATCTCAGTGGAACCCTGTCCCTTAAACACAAGATCCACCTCCAATGGACTGTATGTGCCCCATAGAACCAGACATGCCCTTTATACACCATCAATCCCACAAGACATGCCCCCTACAAACCAAACTGTCTCCTTAAAGAAAAGTTCTACCCCTAAGAAGAGACCCTGTATCTTAGACTCTGCCTCCAGGTGACCAGATATATACATTAGACACTGTATCCAACGCCCAGGATAGGATTCACCCATCAGGGAAGGAGTCAACCATTCCTCTTTTCTCCCAGGCACTAGATTACATTCCTGTCCTGAGTGCTACTCTGTGCCAGGCATCGTAAGCCTCTGGGGATCCAACAGTGAAGAAAAAAAGAACGCCTCGTGGGGCTTATCTTTTAGTGTTGAGCAGTGGGGTGGACGAAAGTAAAGAAATGGAAGTAATTTCAGGTGGTTCTGAGCATGCTGAAGGAGGGAAGGAAAGGTGTTAAGAACGTGAGTGACCCCGTGACAATGCCATCTCAGTGCAGGTGTCCCGTGGACGTCTCTACAGAGGCGGCATTCGATCTGAAACCCGAAGGGTGACGAGAGACCAGAGAGCTGGGTGGGCGCGGAGGAGAGAGGGATGAAGGGAGGTTGAGGGGTCAGGTCCCACAGAGCCTGGTGGGCCAAGACAGGCGTTTGTGCTCTCCAGGTAATTGCATGCCAAGATTTTAATGTGGAGGGATGTGGCCAATCTTGCACTTCACAAAGTTCCCTCTGGCCGCTGAGTGGAGAAGGAACTGCAGTCCAGCACGAGAGATGCGTAGGAGCCTAGACCAGAATGGTGGAGAGAAACGGGTGGATTCGAGATGAATTCTGTAGGTGGAATGTGAGTGTGTGTGTGTGTGTGTGTGTGTGTAATTGAAAGGGAGGAATCAGGAGGGACTGGTTGGGTGGTGGCAGTTTGTGTTAAGGCCAGAAAAGGGGAAGAACGAGTTTGGGTATGGGCTTAGAGGGATCAAGAATTCCATTTTGAACTTAAATTTAAGATGCCTGGGAGATTGGTGTGCACTAATAAGGCTGAAGATGTGTGTATCCTGTGATACGGTGATCCCACTGCTAGGCACGAACCCTAGAGAAACCCTTTCACCTGCACCAGGAGACACATTTAAAACATTCCCAGCAGCAATCTGTACAACCTCAAACTCTGAACAACTGATACGTCATTGCTATGGTCTGAATGCGTGCGCTCCCATCGAAATCTCTATGTTGAAATCCTAAAGCCCAATGTGACGGTATGTGGAGATGGAGCTTTTGGGAGGTGCTTAAGTCATGAGGGTGGAGTCTTCATGCAAGGGACCAGTGCCCTCATTTAAAAGGCTCCAGAGAGATCCCCAGCCCTTCCTACCCTGCAAGGACACAGCAAGAAGCACTGGCCATAAACCCAAAAGAGGGCCTCCCCAAGAAGACAAGCATGCTGGTGCCTTGATCTTGGACTTCCGGCCTCCAGAGAACTGTGAGCAATAAATTTCTGTTGTTTATAAGCCACCCAGTCTGTGGTATTTTGTTACAGCAGCTGGAACAGACTAAGACATCCATCAACAATACAGCAGATAAATAAACGGTGGTATATTATGCTATGGGATACTATACAGCAGTGAAATACCAGAATGCAGATACACACAATTACATGAATGAAAAGTTACAAAGAAGCCCAACACACGAAGTCAAATACATAGAGTATGATTCCACTTTCTTAACGTTCAAAAGCAAGCAAAACTAAACTATAATATCGTTTAGGATGTATTGTGGGTAGTGAACCATCTAGAAAAGCAAGAAAACCTTCTCCCATAAAACTCAGAACAGTGGGGTTGGATGCGTTAAACTTGGAATGGGACTTGCCAAACCCTCTATGGACTCTGGGGCGGCTGCTAACATCCCATTTCTTAATCTGGTGATCTATTGATAATTATTTGTTAACTGTGCATCTGTATCGTGCCCTTTTAGTCTATGCGTCTTATATTTCACCAGGAAAAAAATTTAGAGGAGGGAGACATATATTTGGGGGGACAGAAAACAAGAAGACATTTTTGCCTGGAGATCCACAGTTGCCCATTTGAAGGCTCCAGGTCAGCTCCTGGGGACGCTCAACCTTAGAGATACTTCCTCTCCGCTCTCCCACCCAGGAACCAGGAACAAGACTCATCCCCTGGGGCAAAAACCAAAAACCAAAAAAAAAAAAACAAAAAAACCTGTCTTGGAGAAACAAGACCCGCCCCCTTAGATTCAGGCACCGCCCCAGGGACAAGACCCATCCACTTCGAGACCTGCTCTGCTGGAGCACTGAGGGTCTGGACACGAGCCAGGGTTGTCATGGAGATGGCCGCAGGCTAGGGATTAATGAATAGGGACCTCTGGAGGCTGAGGCTCCGCCCACCTCACCTCCAACCCAATCTTTTCTCTTCTGAGACAATAGCGACAGGGACTCACCCATTTCCTGCGGGCCTCCCAAGGGCCTGGTGCAAGGCTGGACCTCGTACCTAACTCAATCTCCACTGTGGCCCCATCTTATAGATGTGCTAATTGAGGCTCAGAAGGGGCGGGAAGGATTATACTCCGGGGGCGATCTCAGCCTCTCCCGAGCGCCAGTTACTGGGCTGAAGCTGACGACGCTCACGTGTCTGCTGCAGGAGCTGACTCTCCAGCTGACCAGTCGAGCCAGCCACCTGCACGCTCAGCTGAGCTCCGCATGTCCCCACCACCTGTCTTCTCCCTTCGAGGCAGTCACCCTCTCCTGAAGCCCCAGCCTCACTCCTCCTCACTCACTCCTCATCCACTTTTCTGGGCGCGGCTGGGCGCTGACGGGTGAGCGGTTAAGCAAACGGGCAAAGCCGACCCCTGCCCTCAGCGAGTTTATATTCCAGGGGAGGGGAGATAGGCGATCAGTGGATAATCCACGAGTAGCCTACTGCTTGTTTGCGATAAGGACAGTTTGAAAATTAAGGCAGAGTGAGGACTACAAGGTGACGGGAGGGCTGTTTTAGCTAGGGTGGACAGGAGAGGTGTCTCTGAGGACGTCTGGAAGAAATGAGGGGGAGTAAGGGACACTTTTTGGAAATCCAGGGGAGGGATTCCAGGCAGGGGGAACGGCACGTTCAAAGGCCCTGAGTCCACAAAGAGCAAAGAAGGTGGTGTAGCTGGAGGGGAGTGAAGCAGGAGAGAGGTAGCAAACAGTTGAGGGAGGCTCCAGGGGCCAGACCTGTCGAGACTTCCAGGCAGGGGGTGAGGAACACGGGAGGAAGGGAAGGGAAGCCACCGGACGTTGACAGGATGTGATTTCTGGCGGCGCGGTAGGGGCGCTGGAGGCAGGAGAACCAATGAGGAGGCAGTTGCAGGGGGACTGGCACCCAGGAGTGCAGTCCTAAACCAATCAGCGCTAGGGCCCGCCCCCTGCCCGGGAACCTGCTACCCCGCCGGGGCCGGCAATGCCTAGGCCCCCTCTCTCACCTGGGCCCGCGCCCCGCCTCCTCCCTGCTCCCAGCCTTGGTCTCCCCTGCATTCGGCCGGGCCTCCACGCGGGTCCCACAGGAATTTCTCTAAAACATTAATCGGATCGTGTGACTTTCCAGCTTAAAACCTTTTCAATGGCTTCTCAGTGCCCTAGGAATGTGTCCAGCATTCAGCCTGGACTAAGAGGCCGGACACAGTGGCTCGTGCAGCTCCCGGCCTCTCTCCACCAAACTGCTGCCTTTGATGTCCCAATCCAAGGCCTGGAGTCTCCCCCAAGACAAGATCTCCCTCCCCACCCCCCAATATGCTCCTCCCTCTTCCATTCCTGAATCTTTCTTCCTTCCTTCCTTCCTTCCTTCCTTCCTTCCTTCCTTTTTTGGAAAAAAATGTTAAGCCTTTAAAATATAGATAATAACACCCCCCCCCCCCCCACCCCCCGCGGCCAGGTATAGACTCAGAAGAATTGAAAACAACCGTGCAAACAAAAACTTATACACGAACGTTCATAACAGTACTATTCCCAATAGCCAAAAGGTAGCAACAACCCAAATATCCATGAACAGATGAATGGACAAAATGCAGTATACCCATATGGTGGAATATTATTCAACCAGTAAAAGTAATGACGTACAGACACATGCCACAACATAGACGAATCTCGAAAACATGCTAAGTGAAAGAAGCTGGTCATAAGAGATTACGTATTGTATGACTCAACTGATATGAAATGCCTGCAGTAGGCAAAGCCATAGAGAGACAAAGCTGGTTATTGGTTGCCAGGGGCTGGGAGGAGAAGGAAACGCAGAGTGACAGTTTAATGGACCTAGATTTCTGTTGGGGGAGATGAAAAAGTTCTGAAACTAGATAGTGGGATGGCCACACACACACCCATATACTGTCTATCATATTTGAAACGTTAGAGGTATACCTCACTCTCCATAGGCCCCTCCAGGATCTGATTGCTTCTCCCTGCTACAAGGTAACTCCTACCACGAATTTGGTGCTTATTGTTTCCATGGATACTTTTAGACTTTCACTCATATGTATTTATATTTTAAAAAGTCGTACTATTGACCAGGCGCTTTTAAAAGTCATGCTCTTCACCTCTGTCTTTTCTCCCATCTCTTTGTGAAATGCAAAGACTCACTGAGACTCACTAGCTTTGAAATGTTTTAGTACCTCACTTTACTGCTCTTTAAAATGGGAGAATAGGGGCGCCTGGGTGGCTCAGTCGTTGAGCGTCTGCCTTCGGCTCGGGTCGTGGTCCCGGGGTCCTGGGATCGAGCCCCGCGTCGGGCTCCCTGCTCGGCGGGAAGCCTGCTTCTCCCTCTCCCACTCCCGCTGCTTGTGTTCCCTCTCTCGCTGTGTCTCTCTCTGTCAAATAAATAAAAAATCTTTAAAAAAAAAAAAAAAATAAAAAAAAAAATAAATAAAATGGGAGAATAATGTGACCCACTCCATAAGGTAAGGAGAAACAAATGGGTTTGTATTTGTAAAGCACTTACAAGACGAAGCTATTATTTTCATTTTATTTATTTTTATTACCCCCCCCCCATTTTATTTCTTGTTCCTTTACTTTTTTGAGTATGGACCACATTCACATGGCTTCAAATTCAAGAAGTACAAAAGGATAGAGTGCAGTAAGTTTCAGTTCTGGGAGTTAGACAATGTTGCTAGTTTCCTCTTCTTCCAGACACAACCCACTGATAAGCACAGATAGAACAGGTGGCAGGCTGTTTTCCACCTTCCTTTCTGCCTGCCCCCCTTCACTTCACATTATCACTTGGAGTGTTTCCATATTTTTACACAGCAAATTTCTTCATCTTTTTTTTTTTTTTTTGATACATAGCATCCACTGGGCAGGTCAATCATGACGCCACTCGAATCCCCTACGGATGGGCATTTAGCTCATTTCCAGTCTTTTTCAGTGGTGTGCGATACTGCACTGATTCACCCGGTGCAGATGTTGTTTTGCATGTTTCTGAACAGATCTGACAGATTAGTTCCTGGAATTGCTCACGTGTTAAGGCTGTTCCAAATTTCACTTGCCCCAGCCATGTACAAAAAGGTCCTGTTTCCCACACTCTTGTGGACAACGTTCAGCGTGTACTTCACCTTAAACAGCGACAGGCTGCAGGCATACCTCTGCAACAAGTCTTTCCTGCTCAGCATGGGGCATTTGAGATGTGTTGAGGTGCATTTCTCTCTCATTTCCCTTGACTCATCCTTCTCATCTCTAACCCTTGGCTTTCATCCTGCAGGTTTCAGCTGAAACACTGTGGCCTCCTGGAAGACCTTGAGGATTGCTCTCACCCCAGTGGGAGATCAGCTCAGTGCCTTCTCTGTTCTCTGTCTTCCCACCAAATCCTCTTTCCTGCGTTAGAGCACATTTTCCAGGAAGGCGATTGGATCTGTGTCTGACTGCCTCCTCCATCTGACAGTGAGCTTCCTGCAGACAGGGTCCAATGGTAGCTCCAGCACCAAGGACAGAGGTAGCCCACAGTAGGTGCTCAGTAAATATCCGTAGCTTAGGATCCAGTGAAAATATATATAGCAAAATATATTCAGGACTCAGGAGCACAGTCGGTGCTTAGTACATGTTGTTCTCTTAAGAGCGAATGCATATACGCAGGGCTTGTTATAAGGGGGGGGGCACTGAGGCTAGGAGAAGGGACAGTCGCTTGCTCGGAGAGCCAAGTGAAGGCTGGAGTGGGTTCTAGTCCAGAGCGCCCTGCTTTCCTTGAGGCCTCTGCCACTGCCTCATTCACCTCCCTCCCCTGGCATCCCCTCGCCCAACACAGTGCCTGGCACAGACAGGACCTGATAAATGTGTATCTGTTGAAGGAATGAATGAATATGTGTGTCTGCTGAGGTGGGGAGGGGAGCTGCGTCCAGCCTCCCAGGCCCCCAGCCCCCTCCCCGTGCAGGACCCAGGAATCCAAGCCGCCCGCCCTCCCCGCCCCTCTGGGTCCCCTTGTCCTCCCGCTTCCGGCCTTGCAGCCAGTCTTTCCTCTTTTGGGCTCGGTCGAGAGGCTGGGTTTCCGGGGGAAGGCTTAGGCGGTGACACCGAGCCCAGCCTCCTCCACCCCCCACCACGCTCGGGCCCTCCCTCCCTCCCCGCCACCACCGTCCGCGTTTGGCCGGCCGCGGGGAAGGAAGAAAGGAGCGAAGGAGGCGGAGGTAAGAACCAGGCGCCCAGCGATCAGGGCCGAGCCCCAGGGCCCGGGCTCGGAAATCCGCGAGGCCACGACCCGTGGCCCCAATTCTGCTGATCACGCCTGCGGGAAAACCACAAGCTGGGCCCGGTGGGGAGCTCGGACCCCCATGGGGACCTAGGGCTCCGGACCCCAGCAACCTTGGTGGGGGGCAGGCGTCCAGGGGCTGGGCCCTCAGCCGCCTCCTCCCTGGAGAATTTGGGCAGCTGAGCCCCCAGCCCCCCCTCCCCCAATCCTCCCTGCCACTAGGACCCAGGAATCCATACCCCCTACTTACAGGAGTGGATCCGAGTCACCTCCCAAACCTGGGGCTCCAAACCCCAGCTCCCACCTCTCTCGGTCCCAGGAGTCCAGGGCCCCAGCCTCCCCCCCTGCCCAAGAATCTGAGCCCTCCTACCCCTGGCCTCTCCCAGACCCTGGTCTGGGCACCCACACTGCATTTCCGGGGCCTCCCAATGTTGAATTGTACCCGCTCCACTCGGGCACCACAGGCTGGGTCCCAGCCCCTCCCAACATGCTCCAGCGGGCCCCCTGGAGAAAAAGCAGTTAGGCTGACTCCCTGTCTCCTCTTCTGTCTGTATCTCTGGCTTGTCCCCTCTCTCTGTCTCTCTGTCTCTCCCTACGTCCATCCTGCTGTGGCTCTTCTGATCTCTGTGTTTGCACCATCTCTCCCGAAATCTCTTTGTTTTCTCTCCATCTCTGTCTCTGCTGGGAGTCCCCATCTCTCTCTCCTGCTGGCTCCCACCATCCTGTCTTTACCGCTTCTCCTGCTCTCTGTCTGTCCCCCGGTCTCTGCTCTGTCTTTCTGTCTTGCTGGCTCTCTCCTTTGCCTGGCTAAACATCTGACCATCACTGAATCTCCATCTCTCTCTGTCTCTGCTTCTCTGCCTCACTCCACACATCTCCCTTTATCTGACCCACCCCATGCGCCCCCCGCAATGTCTCCTTGTCTCCCCTTTCTCCTTACAGGCATGGATCCGCAGCCCCCTCCACCCGCCCAGGGCAGCCCACCTCACCGTGGCCGGGGCCGGGGCCGTGGCCGAGGCCGTGGTAGGGGCCGGGGCCGTGGCAGGGGGGGCGCTGGAGCCCCTCGGGCGCCCCTGCCCTGCCCGACCTGTGGCCGCCTCTTCCGCTTCCCCTACTACCTGTCCCGGCACCGGCTGAGCCACTCAGGCCTCCGACCCCACGCCTGCCCCCTGTGCCCCAAGGCCTTCCGCCGGCCCGCCCACCTCTCCCGCCACCTGCGAGGCCACGGGCCCCAACCCCCACTGCGCTGCGCGGCCTGCCCCCGCACCTTCCCGGAGCCCGCGCAGCTCCGGCGCCACCTGGCCCAGGAGCACGCAGGCGGCGAGGTCGAGCTGGCCATCGAGAGGGCGGCCAAGGAGGCAGCAGAGTCCAGCTGGGGCTCCCAGGACGCCAGTGCGGAGCAGCAGCCCACCACCGCCGCAGCTGGGGCCGCTGAGGAGGAGGCCGCGTGGCCCGAGACGTGGCCGGCGGCGGAGCCGGCCACGCTGGCGGCCCCCGCGAGCGCCGAACCCCGGGAGTCGGAGGAGGAGGAGGCCGAGGCAGGGGCGGCGGAGCTGAGGGCGGAGTTGGCCCTGGCGGCCGGAAGGCAGGAGGAGAAGCAGGTCCTGCTCCAGGCCGACTGGACGCTCCTGTGCCTCCGCTGTCGTGAAGCCTTCGCCACCAAGGGCGAGCTCAAAGCGCACCCTTGTCTGCGCCCCGAGGGAGAACAGGAGGGTGAAGGGGGCCCCCCGCCCCGCCCCAAGCGCCACCAGTGCTCCATCTGCCTCAAGGCCTTCGCCAGGCCCTGGTCGCTGTCCCGCCACCGGCTGGTCCACTCCACCGACCGCCCCTTCGTGTGCCCAGACTGCGGCCTGGCCTTCCGCCTCGCCTCCTACCTCCGTCAGCACCGGCGCGTGCACGGCGCGCTCAGCCTCCTGGCCCCGCTGCCCCCGGCGGGCAGGAAGGACGACAAGGCCTCGGGTGGACGGAACTCAGGGAAGGGGCCCGAGGGCGGCGAAGGGGCAGAGTGCGGGAGCGCCCCCGAGGGGGGAGAAGGCGGGCAGAACGGAGGGGACGCCACCCCGGCCCGGCCCCCCGCGGGGGAGCCGCGCTTCTGGTGCCCCGAGTGCGGCAAAGGTTTCCGGCGCCGCGCGCACCTGCGGCAGCACGGGGTGACCCACTCGGGGGCGCGCCCCTTCCAGTGCGTGCGCTGCCAGAGGGAGTTCAAGCGGCTGGCCGACCTGGCCCGCCACGCGCAGGTGCACGCAGGGGGCCCGGCCCCGCACCCGTGTCCGCGCTGCCCGCGCCGCTTCTCGCGCGCCTACAGTCTCCTGCGTCACCAGCGCTGCCACCGAGCTGAGCTGGAGAGGGCAGCCGCGCTGCAGGCGCTCCAGGCCCAGGCCCCGCCGTCGCCCCCGCCGCCCCCGCCGCCCCCGCCAGCTGGGCAGGAGGAGGAAGGGCTCCCGCTGCCCATTGCACACATCAAGGAAGAGCCACCCTCCCCGGGGACCCCACCCCAGTCGCCGCCGCCGGCTCCCCCTGTCTTCCTCAGCGCCTCCTGTTTCGACAGCCAAGACCATTCAGCCTTCGAGATGGAGGAAGAAGAGATTGACAGCAAGGCCCACCTGCGCGGATTGGGAGGCCTGGCCTCCTGACCTTCACACCCACTCTTGGCCCCTCCATTTGGCTCCCGGTTTGCAATATGGAGGAGGGAAGTCGAAGGAGAGGTGCCTCCTGTCTACCCACCCTTCCCCTTCCAGCCCTCAACACTAAGGAGGGGGGGCCCTGGACCACCCCTCCCTCCCCATCGCCCACCCCCAGGACCCCTGACTGGCTAGGAACTGCTTGCCCCCGTAGGCCTCTGAAGGCAGGACGACTTGGAAAAGGAGGCGGAATATATTGGCCAGAGAGATGGAGACTGGGGGGGATCCCCTGCCTGGCTGTCTCCCATTATACACACTGGACACCATCACCTCTTTGGAACTGCCAGACCCTTGGGGTCCCCAGTGAGCAAAGGTCCATCCCTGTCCTTTTGTCTGTCTGTGAATAAATGTGAGTTCGTGAAACAGGAGAGAGTGAGGCTGTCTGTGGGGGCTGCCAGAGGGGTTCTAGGGTGAGGCGGGATTCAGCCAACAGGCTCTGAGCTTGCATTCCAAGCAGGAAGGATCCAGATTCCCACATCAGGGAATGGCAGGGAAGTGCTCAGCCAGCAAGAAACTCAAGAGAAGAATCGGGAGTGTGGCAACACTGGTGACCATCTGCCCAGGCATCTTTGGGTAGCCCCATGGCCCCCCTGTGCAATCTCTGCATGCATTCTTTCAGCAAACATTTGCCAGGCACAGCGCTGGGCCCTGGGGATGCTGGAGATGAGAAAGCCATGAGGAGCCAGAATTCTAGATCCGCACTGCCCCATACAGTTCAGCTGCTAGCCGCACATGGCTGCTTCCATTTAGATTCAGGATGAGTAAATCGATTTAAAATAAAATAATTAAAAATGTTCAGTTCCTCAGTCACACAGTTTCAAGGTTCAATAGCTCCATGTGGCTGGTGGCTACCCTGTCGGACAGCACAGATCTAGAACATTCCATCACCGCAAGAAGTTCTCTTGGACAGGGCTGCCCTAGATAATAAACCGATCTGCAGTAGAGCCCCAGGTATTAATAAGGGCTACTGAGAACACTGCATGGCTGGGAGGGAGGGCCCTCTGGTGACCTTTGACCTGAATGAAGAGCTGGGTGGAGGGAAGAGCAGGGACAAAGGCCGTGAGGTAGTTTGGTGCTGCATGTTTGAGAAACCACAAGAAATTGGGGGTGAGGGAAAGTGTCATGTTCTGCAAACCTTCTAATGGTTTTTTCTTCACCCATCTATTTGGGTCTTAAGGAGTGGAGAGGGAAAGATGTGTTCAAGCCATCTTCCTTAAACCCCTTCTCTTTCCTTCTATTGACCTCCTGCCTTCCCCCAGCGCCTTCAGTGGCTCTCTCTTTCCTATGCAAATAATGATGACATTGACCACTTAGGTATCTTCATGCGTATAAGGCCAGGAAAAGAGGGGTGAGGTCATCCCAGTTTTCCAGGGCAACAAACAGAGGCTTTGGGAAGGAGGATTGCTCCCTAGTGTGATGAAAACACCAGGCAGGGGCAGGGATGGAGGGAGGGAAGCCGGGAACATGGAGGTTGAGGGTCTAGGAAGGGAAATGACTGACTACCCAGAGCTTTGCAGAATCCTCCCTGGCAAAGATTCAACACACCTTGGCTGAGCCCTTGGCACTGTGCCTGGCACGTAGTAGGCATTCAATCCATGTTAGTCCGTTTGATTATCGCTGTATCACCCAGGGCTGGATGTAGGGGAGGCAGTGATGAGTGAGACCACCTGGGCACCAGCCCTCATGGAGCTTACAGACCAGCAGAGGATGTGGACAGTAATCAAATACTGGCACAAATAAATTAGGGTTTCCAAATGAGACCGGTTCTTCCACAAACTAGGTCCCGTAACAGCCTCAGATGTGGGGAGCTGGGGTGTGCTTTCATGACATCAAAGCTACCTCCCTCCTCAGGAAGCTTCAGTGGCTCCCTATTACCATATCCAAACATGGGCCACCATTTAGCGAGCACCTACCATGGCCAGACACTTTTTCAGCTCAATCTCATTGATTCAACTCATTGAGGGAGGGGATTACATAGCCCAATTTACAGAAGGAGCAAACAGGATTAAAATTAAGTCATTTGTCCTACTTTGGAAATCACTACCATGAATTGAGCTCTTTGTATTCAATGAGGTGCTTTGTGGGGAGGGCTGAAAACAGGGGTTGGCACCGGTGAGGGAATCATTGCTGTTGTTGCTTTGTTATGATTATTTTCCCAGGCTGGTGTAAAACTGATCTCAGGGAACCCTCACCACCCCACTGGGGATTAGGAAACATCCTCATCACTTTCTAAGGGCAAGACAGCACTCAGAGAGGGGGTCCCTTGTCCAAAATCTCATAGCTAGGAATTGGTGACGTGGAATTTGAGCCCAGGCTGGACCAACTCCGTAGCCTGCACACCCTTAGCCAGGCCAATATAATGCTTAGGATTAGCCCCCTCTTTGCCTGCATCCCGGTCTCCAAGCCCCAACGCATCATGCCCCACCCCTCCTGGGCTTTGCCCACCACCTGCCCCCTTTCCCGCAGGCTTACTCTGCCTGGAGGATCCACTGCATCCGGAGAGAAACATTCCTAGAACAAAACACAGAACTTAGGGTGAGAAAAGGTCTCTAAGGATAGAGCCCAGTTCTCCCGTTTTGCAGACGAGAAGACTGAGCCCTAGACATGTGGGACAGACACAAAACATGATAAAACACCCAAAGGGTCGCCATTATTGTGAAGAAGCACTGCTGGTGTTCATGAATCAAACCTTGTAGCTTGTCTTGCCCTGTGCTGAGCATTTTACATATATGACCTCAACCACATGTTCATAATCATACAAAATACATTTTTAAAAGATTTTTATTTATTCATTTGAGACAGACAGATACGGGGGGGGGTGGGGGCGGAGAGAGAGAGAACCCGAGGAGGACAAGAGGCAGAGGGAGAGGGAGAAGCAAACTCTCCGCTGAGCAGGGAGCCCAAGGCGGGGCTAGATCCCAGGACCTGGAGATCATGACCTGAGCCAAAGGCAGACGCCCAACCATCTGAGCCACCCAGGTGCCCCACAAAACACATTTCTTGAGTACTTAGCCTACAGCTCCTTCTAAAGGGATTGTGTGGATTAGCTCACCTACTCTTCCCAACAAGATCAATTGATAGATGCTATCCCGGGCTGCACTTGTTTCTCTTAAACAGCTTGAGATATCATTTGCATACCATAGAATTTACTCATTTTAAAGGCACTCAGTTAGGACACGTCCACCCCAAAGATCTCTTGTGCCCATGAATAGTCACTTCCCATCCGCACCCCCAGCTCCAGGCAACCACTGATGTATTTTCTGTCTCGACAGATTTGCCTCTTCTGGACAGTTCCTATAAATGCATCATACAATATGTCACCTTCCGTGTCTGGCTTCTTTCACTCCACACGCTGTCTTTAAGGCTCATCCACGTTGTAAGTTTTATGAGCACTTCATCCCTTTTTATGGCTGAGTAACATTCCATTGTATGGATAGACTGCGTTCCGTTTACCCATTCATCTGTTGGTGGACCTCTGGGCTGGGTCCGCTCTTCGGCTGTTGTAAATAGTGCTGCTGCGAACACGCTTGCGGACACAGATTTTATTCTCTTGGGCAGATTCTCGGGAGCAGAATTGTTAGGCTCTGTGAAAAGCTCATGATACACTTTTTAAGAAACTGCCAGACTGTTTCCCAAAGTGGCTGTACCATTTACAGTCCCATCAGGGATATGTGAGGGTGAGGGCTCCCCATGGGGGCTCCATTTTCAGGAGAAGGAAGCCCAAGATCTCCTGGCTGGTAAGTAGCAGATCTGGATATGTCTGAGGGCATTGTGGTTCTAAAGTCTGTGCTCTTAAGTCTCATGCAAAGATTCATTCTTACCCTGTTATTCCTCCCTCCCTCCCT